TTTTCGGGGGGAGGCCCTTTTTCCAGTTTAGAGCAATAGCCCCTCCAAATGTCTGTGCACGTCCCTGCTACTGCTACTGCTACTACTACTACTAGCCTACTACTACTCAGGGACGTGCACAGGTACGGGCTGATGTTGCCCGGGCAACGGCCCGTTTGGCCTTTTTGGCTGACCTGCCCCTCTGGAGAGAGCGAGAGTTTGTTTTTCTTTTTTCTGCTGTGGCCGAATCAACATGATGAGTCNGTGTGTGTGTGTGTGTGTGTGTGTGTGTGTGTGTGTGTGTGTGTGTGTGTGTGTGTGTGTGTGTGTGTGTGTGTGTGTGTGTGTGTGTGTGTGTGTGTGACACACACACACACACACACACACACACACACACACACACACACACACACACACACACACACACACACACACACACACACACACACACACACACACACACACGCACACACGCAAACACGCACACACCAACAGGGTGACAAAGATGCGTTACGAAGATACAATTACACTTGCAAGAGCAGTGAGAGCCCTTTAAGATCATGTGCCATGGAGCTCTCAGAGGTTTGGAAGCCCAGACAGCGCAGACAATCAGCGGCTACTGAAAGTATCACCGCCACAAACACTGGCATAAAACTGAAGCCTTGTTTACTGTTCAGCATTCTTACCAAATTACATCCCAGTCTCACGGCATTTCGTGTTATAGTCACAAAATTGATCTATTGATTCGTGTTAACCAATACGATTTCCCATGTTTTTCCTGTCTCACAGAACGATTTTAAAAGCAATGTAAATAATAACAAATTAGAAGGAAAAAAATATTTTAAAAAATACAGATTTCAGTATTCTGAAACAGACCAATTTTAGAAGCAATGTATTTCTATTGGTAGTATGTTTCGTGCCTGCACCAAATAATAACAAATTAGAAGGAAACAAATATTTAAAAAATACAGATTTCAGTATTCTGAGGCTCTGAGCCCCATTTATTTTCCTCGCGGACGGCAACAAAAGTTAGAAATTATACAATTTAAAATAAAAACAATAATCGTGGCTTGATATTGAGTAAGAACATGTTTTTATGAACCCCCACAGTCTTCCAAGACCCGACCGGACAAAAAGACGTGGTGCAGGCACGAAACACACTACCAATAGAAATACATTGCTTTTAAAATCGTTCTGTGTGACACGGAAAAAATGGGGAAATCGTGTTGGTGAACACGAATCAATAGATTACATTTATTTAGTGACTATTACACGACATGCCGTGAGACTGGGTTGCAAATTATGATCAACAGATTAATTGTTCAGGTCTGGATGTATTTTTTAGAGAAGTTGCCCTGGTTAAAAGGAATCAGGGTAAAATGTATCTGAAATTATAATGTAATGTATGATAATGTTATGACATGGCTTAAAAAGGTTCCTGGTTGCATGATATATAATTCAGCATCGACATTGCAATGTGTGCAGTCACATAGCACGATATGAACTCCAACATGTCATGCTATAACTTTTTGCTGCTTGATACAAAGGGTAAACTTACTTAGCTCTAACTTTCCATGACTAGTCTACAAAAAAAGTATTTTCTAGAACCCCATTGGCTCATATTTAAGGGTTGTTGGATACTAAGAATGTGTTGCTAATGAGTAACATTGAGGCTCTGCACAAAAACAGCAAACTAGTACTCAGGATCCTTCTTGATCAATTAACAATACAACCAAAGCCTGCCGGAAATGAACAAGGTTCTGAAAAAATAACAGAAAAGTAAGAGTTGGTTGCAAAAGGAACACGTCAGCTGTATAGACACATTTTAGCGACGGAAAAGATGGAAC